TAGTATGCTTTAACAGTATGGTAAGGACTGTAGCCTCCTAGTTGATTTGTGTTTTCACCCTTGTCAGTTCAAATCTTGATGATTTGCATTTTCCAGTTCCAAATTTCACCGAATATGAGTGCATTAGGATGGCATTGAATAAAAAGAGAGTTGGAAATTTGAGATTAAATTGTGGGTCTGAACGGAGGGAGACCAAAATTTTCATTAAAAAATGACATGTTGAGAAGGGTGTGCCACTCTTTAAATCTTCATTGTTTCAAAATTTGAAACATTTCCAACACCATAGAAACGCTGGACAAAGTCAACAATCATGAAACAAGTACTGTAATAGTTTTCATTTAGAAAACTTAGATTATCCTCGTTTCAAAAAAAAAAAAAGAAAACTTAGATTATCCTACCAGTACTGAAGTTCAATTTTCTTTGAGAAAGAAAAACCACACCACCAGTTATTGCTTGTAAAAGTAATAATAATTAATGATGAAGAACAAAATATAAAGCACGTTGGAACACTGAGGTGGGGCTCAGTATGAACGTGGACAAACAGCTGCGTTAACACGTTGTGCTAAAACTTTTTCCAATCAAGGCTGGAATTGTACTAAATTGTCGGCACCAACATATGTACCGGAGTGGCAATTGTAAGCTTACACGTTTCTAGTTTCAACTACTGCTTCTTTACCTTTACCTATGCATGGACCAAAAATCCTCCGACCCCCACTGTTAATGTACTGGGGTTGCATTCACTGCAGACCTGCCTTCAATCCATGATTGATAGCATTTATGTTATAGTGGATTGAGATTTTATAAAAGGTTGGGTTAGAGAAAATTATAAATGGTTGCTTGTATATACGGTGAAATATTTGTCTGAATCTATTATAATTTGTCTAAAAAAAAGGGAGTATCAATTTATATTATAAAATATTAAAAAAATTAAATTTTAAACTTACATTGTTCTAATAAAGTGTTATTAAAAAAATTAAAATATTTTAATTTTTAAATTAAAAATAAAGCTATCTTAATTTATTTTTGTGATATTTTACTAAAACGGGTTAATTTTTTGATATTTTTTCATTTAACTCTTTACAATATCAATTGATACCTACTAATCTCATTTGTCTAAATATATTTATAAATTATTAATGTCACATTGATCAAATTTTTTGAATCACTTAAATTGTATTGTTTGTTTGTTATCAAGAATGTACTAGTAGGTTATACTACTAATATTTAAGAAAAACTCTTCGCTTTCTTAGTTTTTATTTTATCTGATCTCACCTACACTCATCTGCAGACAGGGAGCTAACAAGGAGACAGGTTGAAGAAAAGTGGTGATGTCTCTCCATCGGATTCCATATTATCAAAGAGGGATTGCAACTCAGGCATTAAATTTTAGAGGTTTGTCTGTTTCTCTTTGACTCCACCCCTAAAAATACGATAGAAAATACTATTTCCTTGCCCAATATGCCAAACCCCCTTTGTGCTCTTTGACTTAGCCCATGTGCAGCTCCTCATCAATTTGAATATCCTAATGTGGTCAAGCTTGATGATTCACCAAAGGATGGTGCTACAGTCATAATCTTTTTATATAATTATTTTTTATAATTTTTACATATCATTAAATAAGTAAATATATTTAATATCATAACTTTTATATAAATTAAAAAATTAATTATTTAAATGATATGTTAAATTATATTAAAAAATAATATAAAAAAATTATTTCGAAATTATTTTTCTTAATCAAAAGATGGAGCAGAAACAAAAGCATCATGGAATTTCATTTCATGGAACGCCTTTCAAATCTGAAAATGACAATTCTTCTAGAAAAGGGGAAAAGAGAATTATAAGGTTATTTTAAAATATATATTTTATACTTTAAATAATAAAATAACAAAAAAAAATTTCTCAATTAATTATTTGTTTATTAATTTTTTTCACAATTATAATATAAAAATTTTTAAA